TTGCAAATTCTAATTTCCACAAATAAACAATAATTTGGTGGAGAAGGCTAGGAAAGTGACTTACAATACTTACTTTGTATTTATTTTAAGGGTACGTAAGAATATCCATTTAACAGGAGGATATATGGAGAGAAAATTGTTATTTTTAAATTAAAATAATTAAAGAGCTAATGTTGATAAATGAATAATTAATGAGAAAAAAGCACTATAATTAAGCATATTAAAATCTAGATATTATTCTGTAATCTGTGTCTTGTCAATGCCGCCTAGTTAGCGCAGCTCAACTGCATGTATATATACACATTTAGATCGTTGTATTTTGACATACTCGAAATATCTCAAATACACATCGAGCTGATAATAGCTAGCAGAGAACAACGTTAACAATGGCTACTTGGTTCAAGTTATTAATGTTTTTCACATTGATCCTGCTTTCATCTGCACCGGCCCGAGCTCGGCCCGTGAAGCCTATCAGGCTTGCTAGAGAAGCATTGCAAATGCAATTTGAGATGAAGATGAAGAATGCAAGCACAAATGGGTTGCCCGAACGCGTCAGCCCGGGAGGACCCGACCCTCATCATCATTTTCTACATTTTTAATCACAGATAGATCGAGCTGATATGAGGTTGCTGCAACGAACTTAATTACTAGCTTTAACGCCGTTAATTAGTTATTATATATATAATTTCCTGATAAACCAGTGACGTACGTAGGTTGCATGTAGTGAGTATTGGAATTAGCATGCATGCAGCATATACGTATACTATATATACGTACACGCAATCTTAGTTTGTAATGACAGGCATTCCACTTTTGTACAAGTGCCCGGCCCGGCCCGTACCCCGTTCAAGGGCATGTGACTTTAATTTTATACATATAACGTTAATGTATTATATTTTCTCCTAAAAAGTGAGTCAATGACTCAGCAGACAGGACCAAATGTTAGTGCGGGATCTGTCTACTTTGAAAAAAATTTTGATTTAGGAAAAAATTCGTAACTGAAAAGTCAATATGCAACTAGTTATCAATCCAACTATTAGACCAACTCGACTATAATTGACTTAAGTAATAATTTAAAAATATTAAATATTGATTGTAAACATGGAGGGGTACGTACAGAAGACAATGTCACTAAACAGAAATATAATTCAGATTAAGAAATTGATTACAACTTCATCTTGGTTTATATTTCATCTTAACATGCGCTGGAGCCTGGAAGAGTATTAGATTCCATCCTGCAGCGTGCATATAGAAGGCAGATCAGAATATAAATTAATATTTATTTAAATATGATTTAATTTATTTAAGTTAGTACTACAGAGATTTAACTGCAGCATGACAAAGATGCTTAACTAATTATTCATTTGATCAAGAAATTAATGACGTGTTGATGTGTAGTGAGTTCTTAAGCAAGTACTATGTACCAGCAACGACAAAGATCCAGTAAAAAGCGTACTTAATGATGTCCCACAACGATAAGATTTTCCTATATATATAATATATATTTAATAGCAAATTCTAATTTTAATCCTGGATTGTTCTATAGTAAAATTGTCACATTTAATTTTACTTTTTTAATTTTGTCTAATTACATTCTTAATTTTTATTTGGTTGTTACAATTAGTCCTACATTTAAAATTTTGTCATCAATTTTTAATAAAAATGGATAACATATAATTTCATCACTCAATTTGCATTTCGTTTTAATATGTAATTTTAATTTTAATTTTAATTTTCTCCCTTTCCCGTAACCTCTTATAGTTGAATGATGAAATTACATGTCACTCATCTTTATTAATTATGAAATTTAAATGAAAGATTAATTGTGAAAAGCAAATGAAAGTTAAAGGATGTAATGAAACAAAATTTAAAAAGTAGGACTAGATGTGGCAATATAAATTCCACAATAGTTGTGGAGTAAAAATTAAATATGCTCTATATTTTATATATTTAAGGTCTTAATTAATTGGTGCAAGTTTGAGTATGCTTATTAAAAGTTTTGGTTAACTAAATGCAAAGTTGTTAGTGACGAAATAATTAGATAAGTCACTGGACCGTTGCATAAGCTAATGGACCAAACCTGGAGCACTTTTGGTCTAACCCGAATCAGTCTAAGCAATTAAGCAGTCAAATAGTAACATCCAAGGGTTGACCAGAGAGCAGGTGAAACGGTTGAGCACATAGCCAACCCAGTTATTAGAGTGCAAATCAACTAAGAAACCATGACACTTATTTAGGTGCAATTACTAAGGAGCCATGACACTTATTGAGGGAATTGTTGTACTTATTAGGAGGCCGTTGTGTCCATTATTGTAACTGTCATACTTAGTGGCTACTGTATAGTATAAAAGTTGAGCCCATGTAACAACAAGGGGGACACTCATGGTGATGATCGGGGCAAATGACACAAACATATGTATGTAGGGCATTTCTATCCACTTTGGACGGGACGGCCTAGGATTGGTTCAACACAATTCCAAATGGATCAATCCGAAATTTTATCGAGTTTTCCAAGAGTTTCCTAATGTACTTCTCCAACAACATTCAACGTAGCAAACACTTCTCTTATTTGTGCACTATCAAACAAACAAACAAAATGAGAGTGTAGGGATGACAATTTGCCCGTCCCTGACGAGGACGAGGATGAGAACAATTTTCGAGGAATGAGAAACGGGGATGAGGAAAATTTTCGAGGAAAGGGGATGGGGAATGCAATTCCCTCCGTCCCGTCCCCGAATAATTATTATAATTAAAAACTATATATATATATATATATATATATATATATATATATATATATATATATATATTAAGACCTTGGCTTTTAGTTTTTAAAATTAAAAATTAGACTAATTAAAATTTTGACTAAGAGTTGATTGGGGACGGAGAATCCTTGTCCCCGCCTAATTTCCTGCAGAGATGAAGATGTGGGCTATTTCCAATTTCCCGCCGGGGATGAGGACAGGGACGGGGAGTATACTCCGTGCCCCCACCCCCGCCCTATTGGCATCCCTAGGAGAGAGAGCCTAAGTGATTTTAGGGCTGGATGGAAGAAAGAAGTGAACAATGTGTATTCAACGAGAAGGCAACCATTTTAATTTTCATCCAAGCATTGAGGTCGAGAGAATTCTATAAGTGCTTGAACACTAGCCCTCCTCGGTCCTACGATGAGTTGATGAGAATGGCTAACCGTTTTCCATAAGTGGAAGAATATGCCAATAAGAAGAAGAGAGGAGATGAGGAAAGCATTAATGGAGGAGGAAAGTCTAAAAAATGATCTGAGTCTAACCAACCAGGTGTTGGAATCGGCCCCATCAATGACGAGAGGGAGAGACCAATTTTTAAGAGCTCTTTACTTAACCCCCTTGCGCCATTTAACCCCACTCACGCATTCGATTAGTGTAATCTTGGGACCGAGACGAATAGATGAGGATAATACAATTCCTAGAGGAGTGCATAAAAATTCCCCCTAAGGTATACCATACCAAATACTACTGGTTCCATCGACAGGTTGGGCGAGTGCAACGTGTTAAAGACATAGATAAAGGAACTCATTTAAATGTGTTGTTTATTCAGTTCGTGAAGTGCCTGTTGTATAACGAAAGGATATTGAGGGAAGAAGGAAGAAGTTTAGTACGAGTTGAGCGAAACACTCTTTCCTTAAAAACTTTGCTACCTCCCGCAAGCTGTGCACACACGAGAGAGAGCCTCTATGTTATACAATTCAATAAGTCTTAGAAGAGCTCTTGTATAAATAGTGGTGCAAATCCACTTCCCAAACCAATGTGGGACAAAAGCTACTCTCAAGCTTTTTCCCTTCACTTTTTCAACTCAAATGGGTCTACTTTGAGAATCAATATCTCATTCACCCATTATCTGTTTTAAGCGCACAATATATCAATCTCTTCGTCTCACTATGAAGAACCCGAATCCACTTTAAACCGACCCAAATCAGAAGTGGACCCTACTAATAATTGTACCACAAAATAGCCACTTAACATGTCATTTTAAGCTATTTTTCCAATCGTGTCCAAGGCAACAATAACAACATCAATAATAGGGCCAACCCAAAAAATGTGTGGTGAAAGCGCGAGGGCCCCGAGCTATCCACTTTTGGTATGAAAAAGAGAAGGTACAATCATATTCAGGAGGAAGGAGATAAGGAGTTAGAGCAAGAGCCCGCACAACGGAAGAAGCAAATCATCCACTAAGGAACTAACGCATAGATCATAGCCAATGAACTTTTTTGCGTGAAAAACAATTAGTAAGGAGTCATGACATTTATTGAGGTTTAATTACTAAGGAACCATGCCGCTTATTAAATGGAGTTGTTATACTTATCAAGAGGCCGTTATGCCCATTATTGTAACCGTCATACTTAGTGACTATTGTAATCGTAATGTAACAGCAAGGGGACGCTCAAGAAGGTACTCAGACTTAATTAGCAATACGATTACAACTTGTTACGCTTTTTATAATATAAGTATATATTCTTTGCATAACATATTCCGGTAGCATTATTACCGTCATTTGGTTTACAAAATACTAGGCATCTATTAATGGGATATAACATATATATAGTCTATTAGTACTCTTAGTTAACACAAAATACCTCAATACTCAGTTAATGTAAAATACACCATCTAAAGTTATGAGTCAACTATGACAAGAATATTTCAATTTATATTACTTCTACTACTACGAATTGAAGTTAGATTTCTCAGCTCATAATTAAGTTTTTATTGAATTTATGTTAAATTATATTTATAATTATTAATTATGCCAATGACCTTGTGGCCTTGGTCTAGTTTCCTTAATTGAAGGTCATGGGTTTGAACTCCAGTAGGACCGTTATGTTATTGACTTTTTGTATTTTAGTAGGTTGAGAAAGTAACTATGAACAGATACTACATTCTAACAGAGACATTAGTACTCAAAAAAATATTTATCTCTAACATTAACTAGTAATATTAAATAAATTCTATAAAAATAATACGGAGTAATAATAATGGTACTTGTACTCATGAAATAACTTGACAAATAACAAAGCTAATTTATTACCTAATTAATTTATTTGTGGTTCGTTCAACATACTCATCGGCATGTAATGGAGCTAATTAAGCTAGCTTCCACGCCGTCGTCTGGTGGTCCGCGGGGAAGGGGACGAGGCCTCTCTCGATGTAGATAACATCTCGGACGAGGAGTTGATAATGGATCTTCACATCCTCGGCGGTCTTGCCGCCTCCGACAGCCTTGGCAACGTTGGACCAGCGGTCGGGGATGTCCTTGTCGTACACTGCCAAGGCCTTCTCGAACTCCTTGTTCTGCTCGGCGCTCCAAGACCCGCAACCATGACGAGAGGGCATTGCGTTGTTAGAGGCCATCGTGGTTCACGAAAGATTTTGCATGTGAAAAACTTGTGGCAATGCTTCTTCTATATAAACTACGTACCTTAAATAGACCTCATCAGATCAAATTTTACTGAAAAGTAAATTAGGTCGTCAAACTTTTTAAAGTTGTAATCAGGTATACAAACCCAAGGCTTCGACGGTTATTCGGCAAAGTTATTTTAATTAATTACTTGTTAGTTCATCAAAGCCCAATTACCTATTGTGATCTATAATACCAGGTCACTGAAATTTCGACGGTTATTCGGCAATAAAAATCGTCGACGGACACCAAGGCGACCATTTAGTACATAAACATGTCTATTTTTTATTTTTTTTTTTTCAAATTTGAGAAAAAATTCAACAAATTATTTTTCAGTGAATAAGTCAGTCCAGACTTGAGCTGAGATTGTGCTTCAAGACCAAACCACCACCTAATATGATACCTTAGTTCCTGGTCGTGGTTTGGTCACAAAAAGTAGGCAACTTCTTGTTAAATGACAAAAGGGACAATTAACTCCAAGAATGATAATAAACTAATTAATTTCTACACTTGATGTATATGTTTTCATGGTTACCTATTAACCTGTATAAATATCCCTTATCACTACTTAGCTAGCTTGGACGGATGCCGGTTTTCATTCAATACAATATACTAATTTTCAATCTTGACCCACTTTATTGACATTATTACTCTCTATTTGCTCAACAAAATATTATCTTATATAGTTATATATGAATTTAATGTCAAGCTTAATTTTGTGGAATACATTACATAATTTTTATTTTAAAAAAAAATTAATTATCTTAGCCATCCCCAAATCTTGAGAATAAAAAAATGCAGCACAAACTATGTGTCTTATTATATTCTATAAGACAAAATCAAATCGATTCAAGTACTATATATACTATTAAAAAGTTTAAATATGTTAAAAACTAATTAACATGTTTAATTATATTTTAATTGAACTTCACTCTACTTTCAAATTTTGATTGCACACTATTATTAAGCTAACCTCAACCCAACAAATTTATCCATATCACTTACTAAGTGAGGTGACAATAAAAAAAAAATAAATTATTTTTTTATTATCACGGTGGGTTGAAAGCTTACTAATTTAGCAAGCTTTCAACTCACTATTTTTAATGCAAAATGGCAACTTTTGTTGCCATTTCCCAGCAAAAGCTGCTTTTAAAATATTTCGTTGGTATTATATGTATTTATTTATTGACAAATATATAAATTTATAATTGTGATGTGAATATGGAACTGTTTTTGAAAGTGAAAAAGTATTGTAAAGATGTAGAGAAAATAGTAAAATAATTTTAAATTTGATTATGTAGATGTGAGACATACTTTTGAAAGTGAGATACACTTGCAGGAATAAGGATAGCCTTACCTACTAACTTAGCCGCCACCAATAATCAATCAAGGCAAGATACTGTTGTGAATTTCTCTATCATGGCTTGTTCACATGCATGGTTGGTTTATTATATCCATTATTAGAGTGGCAATTAAAGAGTGATTAAAACCATACATCGATTTCAAAAAGCATCTCGCTCTCGAAATTATGTCTGATTAATTAATTTAATGTCTTAACATATATAAATTTTATTTTAATTTTTTTGGGGGGTGGGGGGTTATTAAGTTGGTAATTGTTTAAAATGTGATGTTAAAATAGTCACGTACACTTAGGGATTCATTATAACCAGATAACTACATGCATAGATACATTCAATTATTGAATCATTGATAGTAAGGGCAGGCAGTAATATGAGTGTCAATCATATCACGTCCACTCTGAAAGTTGGAAGTCTAGAGTTTGCATGTACTTTAAAGTGTAGGGCAGTTACTAGAAGCTAAGCCACATTATATTATTCTCATGTCATGCACGCATTGATCTGCATAAACAAGCTAAGTTCAAATCTTCCGTAAGATTTGCTTCCTTCCATCACCCACTTCACTCATGCCTTTATTAGCTAGCTGTCCCCGAAATGACTTTTGATTCATATAACCCCATGTATGATATATGAATCAAAAGTCATTTCGGGGACAGCTAGCTAATAAAGGTAAAATTAGCTAAATTTGTATCTAGGGTCACTTTGAAAATTTAGAAAATGCTTTTGGTAAAATGATTCATTTTTAAAAAAATATTTTGGCCTCGATAGCTGTTAGCTGATTGAGTTAATTAGAGAGTATGATTATGTTTGACAGAGCTTTTAGCTTATTTTAAGCTACTAATAAACTATAAGCTCTGTTTGGTAATGTTCCAAAATAAACTATAACCGGCCGGGTTCGATTCGATTCCCACAAGTGACGATTCCCTTTGGGCCAGCTTCTGTGCCTCCCGAAGCGAACCGGGTGGACCTGGACCGTTAAACGGACAGAGAAAGACCCGGACCACAATGTGTTGCTATCACAAAAAAAAAAAAAAAAAAAAAAAAACTCATAGCTTAAAATAAGAGCTTATTTTGAAACGCTACCTTAAGTAATATTTCAAAATAAGCTAGTAGATTCTTAACCTTTTTTTTTTCCATCTTTACCTTTATTATTCTAAAGAAATGATATCATTTACCATTCCCAATTAAAACCCTTTTCTCTTCTCCTTTATCCGTAACTTTCACCACACGACAATCCCTTCATCTTCATTCGCATTATGGGATGCTAGATCATGATTATGCTAATAATTTTACATATAAAAATGTTAAATTTTAATATGTAAACAAACTAATTTAAATTTGATTCTTTGTGTTTTATTAGGTTGAGAAAGTAGCGCAGCTATGAACAGATACTACATTGTAATAGAGTCAGTAATATTCAAAAAAAAAAAACTAATTTAAATTTTATGAAGATGCCCTTTTTAGTCTTCTTACATTTATCAACTTATCAAAAAACTAATTTTACCAAACACTTTCAACCATAACAGCTAGTTTAACAACTCTTCAGTTTTCAGCTCTTATAGCTTATAGCTTTTCAGCTAGGTTTGCCAAACATAGCCTATAACTAGTTGATAACATTAGTTGATTGTAAAAAGGTGTTTGATAAATTAGCTGTTAGCTGATAGATGTTTGGTATAATTTATTTTCTCAAAAAACTAATTGAAAAAATTATTTTGAGTAGCTTTTTGAATTTTAGCATTTTGGAGTACAAAAACTAATTAATCGAATACTTATATTAATTTTTAAATCAAGTCAAACAACTAATAGTAGTCAAATAAGTTAAAATTGGCCTATAGACTAACTATTTTACTAAACAGGGCCTTTACTTTCTTTCATTTTCTTTTTTTTTTCTTTTGTGTTTGACTGAATGTCAAAAAATTATATTTTCATATATTATAATTAGGTTTCACTTGAGAAATAGAAGAAAAGGGAAAAGAAGAACAATGGAGGAAGAAAGTGAGAAGAAGAAGAAAGGGAGAGGGAGAAACGGGGAAGAAGAAGAAAAAAAAAAAAAGAGAAAAATAAGTTTTCAAAAAAAAAAAAAAGGAGAAAAATAAAATAATTTGAAAGGATCAAAATACTCTTCTAATTATAATACATTAATTTTTTGATTAAAATTTTGACAATATATAACCGAAAAATTAGATCGGAGAATCAAATCTGATACTAATACGAAAGTCATACACCTAATTTGAAATTAAAAAGCAATAGTCAAGGACCAAATGTGCTTCAAGTATAATAATCAAGGGACTAAAAATGATATATTCTTTTTCATGTTTAGTTAAAAGTTAGAAACTGTATTTTTTTTTATGTTTGGTTCCTTTTTCTTGAAAATGAACATATTATATATGTTATATAATAATAATAATAATTATTTTATAATTATAATAATAATAACAATAATAATAAGTGAATGTTGTGGGGGTGGTAGGTGTTGTTGCTGTGGTGGTGGTGGTATGGTGGTAATGATAATAATAATAACATGAAAACTAGATTAAAGAGAGGCGAGAGAGAAGATAGAGACGGGAAAAAAACGAATCCGGATGACTTTCAACCCAATTTGGCATTTTTATGTTAATCATAATGAATATTTTCTTTTAAATTTATTTTATCTGAGTAGTCAAACACGTGAAGATCCATATTTTAACTTTCATGTGTCTAGAGGTGGCCACGTACGGGCCAGTTAATCAAGGTGGAACCAGCCCTAAATCAACTTGGAAAAAAGCGAGCTTAGGCTTCATTGGGTTTGGGCTGGATTTAGCCCAAACCTGAACCGGCTTATAGAGGGCCTACAACTTAGATCAACTCGCAAAAACTGTATTCTTTTTATAATGCGTACACCATTAGATGTTAACCTTGTAGGTTACAAATGGATGTTTGTACGAAAGATAAATACGAATAATGTGGTGGTGTGATACAAAGTGGGACTAGTAGTTCAAGTGTTTACGTAGAAATCTCGAATTAATTTTGGTCAAATGTACAATATATGACATTACGTTTCGCTAATTAACATCATTGGCAATGAATTGTAGATTTAGATATGCAGTTAATGAGCATTATTACCTCAGACTTATGGGTCATCAGATGCTAATATTTATTTATAAATACCGATTGATTCAACACTTTTAAAATGAGGAAAGTAAAAATCACAATGTGTATCATTAAATTGCAAAAGCTTTTGTATGACTGAATATTATTGACGGAGTGTTTTTCCTTCCGAATAATGAATGCATATTGAATGATAGAATTAACTGAGTGTTTTTCCTCCCAAAGAAAGAATGCATATTAAATGATTGAATTGACTAAGTGTACGTTTTTCCTTCCGAAGAAAGAATATACAAATAATATGTACTATTATGTGTTTGTTAGAAAATTGCTAATAGAGTTATTTATTTATTATCTCATCCATCTATGTTGATGATGTAAATATTATTAAAATACATAAAAAGTTTGATGATATTAGCTCATGCCTAAAGGATAGAGTTTGAAATAAAAGACTTGAAAAGTAGATAAGGAACCATTTTAGATTCCGAGAGGATAATGAGGATATGTTGGGACTAGAAGTACATTACTTCAATTCATTACCATTTGAGCACTGTTGTAAGACTATAAGTTCATGGCAAATTATGTTGTGCAATCGTGTGCACCATGCATGGTTCACCCATAATTGGATTCATAATTTCTATATTACAGATTCATAATTTCTATACTATAAATTCATAATTATTGAACTCTATATTCACAATTACAAAACTATATGTTCATATTCCCAATTGTTGAACTCTGTATTCACAAATCACAGAACTATATGTTCATAATTTGATAACTATACAGTTTAGAAATTATGAATCTACAATACAGATATTATGAATCTGCAGTATAGAAATTATGAATCTATAGTATAGAAATTATAAATCTAATTTTGTGTACACCTTACATGGTGCATACGATTGCACAGCATAACGCTCCATAAGTTCATATATTTGGGACTAAAAGTCCATTACTTTATTGTCATTGGAGCACTATTATCGGAGTAAGAGTTCCATAATTGAATTATGCCTGCCATGGTATTTATGATAAAGCTTGCGTCGACATTCAGGATGAAGAGCGCGTCAGTGAATTGCTTACTTAATCATTCTTTTCATGGTGGGCTACTTTAACACTAGTTTTTTTTTTTTTTTTTTTTCCTATAATGCTATGTTTCAAATTGGTTAGGCTATAAATTATCCCGGTGTCATATATAAGCATGGTTGAAAAAATCGCTAGGCACTCATCAAGCGCTCGGAAAGCGCCTAAGGCGCCTTTAGGCGGGGATTAATCGGCGCCTAGGTATCCGTGTATTTTTTATTTTTAAAAAAATTGTTTACATTTGTTTAATTTTTTTAAGAATTGATAATTATAAACTATTTAATACTTTAATAGTTAATACTAAAATATTAAATATTAACTTAAAAAATATCTAGAGTTTGAATAATTTAGGGTTATTTAGTTCAAAACGATGTCGTTTTGAGCAAAATAACTCATTAAAAAAATGGAACAATAGTTAATCTGCCGACTAGGCGACCTATTCAGTGTCGCGGCCTAGTTAGTGCCTAGCTAGGAGGCCTAGGCGGCCGCCCAGCTGGTCAGCCACCTATAGACCATCAATTATGGTGATACGCTAGACGGCCGGCCAGCGCCTAACACCTAGTTGCCGATTAATCGGTGCATAGGCAGGATTTTTGCAACATTGTATATAAGGACAAATAAAATATTGTGTTGCACAAGCAAGTAGTAGGTTTGTTAAGGGAAACCTTACAAAACATATTACACCTAAGTTATTTACCACTACTTTAACTCTATAAGAGTGGTAAAATTCTTGTTGAGAAAGCTCGCCCTAGTGAACAATCTGACAGATATGATCATTAAGTTCATGCATATATCCACTTTTGAGTAATATATATGTTCATAAAATTGGGATGCATAGGTTTGGGAGATTTTTGTCTTTGGGGGGAGCGACAACCCATAACCACACTAGAATGGATTATCTAGAAGACTCTTGAAACACTGAAGATTATGCTCTGAAAGCATATGATTGCATTATTCTCTCCTTAGCAAAGTTTTTTCCCACTCGATTTTCTCATGCTAATGTTTTTAATGAGGCAACTAGTGCAACACAATGGGTTAACATACTTCAATTCCTGTACTCTTTTCCTCATCTAGGTTTTTCCCACTAAATTTTTCTAGCAAGGTTTCTAGCCAAGGACGGAGTGTTATAAATATTATTATTATGACCATTATCATAAAATATTTCATTTGCCTTATATTTATTTCATAATTTAAGTTGAAGGATATAAAGAGTTGTATGAATGTATATATATTCATATTGAAGGCTTAATAAAAGGATGAAGATGATTGAGTTTTTGAATTCTACATTTGTGTTCTTACATTCTCTCTTTACATTTCATAATTTACCATACAAATTTACCGATATTTATCGTACAACGATCACGGAAGTATTGAACTAATTAATATAGAAAATAGCTTAAAATTTAACATCTCTATTTACTGATTTAATTAAGGGACAAATTAAAGGATTATGAGTGGCCAATCATCTTGTGTTCAGATGGTATATGTGGGTGATCATGAAATCGAGCATCAGGGAGACATTGACTCTTTGTGTTTCATTAGGTTGAGAAAGTGAGCCGTTATACTACAATGTGCTAGAATTAGCATTAACAAAAAAAAAAGGATTATGAGTGATAAAAATTACTCCGTATTTAAAGGCCAGGAAAATAAAAAACTTTTCAGACAATGTATTGAGAATAGGGTTGCTAACGAACCGAACATAAACGAACGGAAGTTGTTCGTGTTCGTTTGTTAAGAAATTTGGAGTGTTCGTGTTCGTTTGTTAAAGTTTTTGAAAATCTTGTTCGTGTTCGTTTGTTAAGTGTTCGTTAGTGTTTGTTAACGTTCGCGTGAACGTGTTCGTTAACATTAACAAACATGTTCATTAACAAGCACGTTCACGAACATATTTATTTACGTTCATGAACACTTAATAAACAAACACATGCACATGTTCATGATAACAATTCGTTCATAATAAATAATCTACGTTCACGAAGAATAATCAAACAAACAATACAACTACATAAATAATATAATATAATAATAATATAATATAATATAATATAATATATATGTTTGTGAATATATTCGCGAACATTATTAAACGACCACAAATGAGCTTGTTCACGAACATTATTAAACAAACATAAACAAGCTTGTTCACGAACATTAATAAATAAACACAAACGAGCTTGTTCACGAACATTAATAAATGAACACAAACGAGTTTGTTATCACTTAACAAACGAGCTTACAATTATTCAAACTCTATTCGTTTATTAATCGAGCTCTAAATTTTGTTTGTTAATATTCATTTACGTTAACAAACAAATATAAACGAAGTGATCGAAGTGTTCATCGTGAAATCACAAGACCCAATTTTTCTAGGGTTGGAATTGCGTGAAACTTCGATTTTTACGCTAGCAAGTCGGCACATACTCTCTCGGTTTGCTTACTACCACCGGCAAACCTTCTCCAACTTCACCTATGTTTCGGGAGACTGTCCTTTCTACAGTCTCACCCCCTTACCTCGAGGTGGGCAAAAAAGGGGCTTTTACAGTGAAACAAATCTTCGGTCAGGAGAGAAGAGGACACAGATTTCAGCCTGCAGTGGATAAAGATTACAATCTTCTACTAGGAAATAGATAATTCCACCATTGGTGAAAAGAAACCGGTAAATACCTTCTCTTGAGGTAAATGAAATGATTACAAATTTTGTGCTTTCGGCATATCTAGTCTAGTACAAATATAGAGTGATTTCTCATCTGTATAAAGTTATGATGACTATTATTTTTTTTTTTTTTCCATTTCGAATTTCTGGTAACAAGAAGCATAAAAAAGTTCTATTTATTTATTTATTTTTTTATTGTCACAGATGATGCCAAAGAATTTTTTTTTTTTTTTTTTGGAAAGTATGCTTGTGAATAGGATTAATGAATGCATAGAATAAGCTTTGGTTTCACCGGAGTTGGCCTGAATTTGTGTAATACTGCTCTATCTTTGAAGGATACTTGTATGCATGTTGAAATGATCACTTGATCAAGTCCTTGTCCTTGACTTCTTTACCCTTCTAATTTAGTTGATAATGTTACTTCTGTAAACAATGATTCTTGTGCTGCTAGTGTCTGCTTTTGCTTGTGCTACACTTCCCAGATTGCTTTGCCAATAGTTATCTTTTTGGAGTTTCAGATACTATCTTGGCAGAAATTCAGGTACCTCTGCACTGCAAGTGAGTGTTCAGCCCTTCTGTGCAAGGGGTATGACCTGATTTTGCCCGGGAATATAAGTTGGAAGGAGATGTCCATGTATTTGAGCTGAGCAGCTGACTGAGCTGTGGCATGTTGTTTTCAATGTAAACATCTTCCCGAGCTTTCCAAGATTCAGGAGTTTGAAATAGTTTCTCCAGGAACATCAACTGCGTTGATAACTGTAACCACATTAATGTGCAGAAATCATCTAACTGGTTTGCATCGGATCTTTTAGTTTTATACTTTTATTTCTATAGAATTTGTTCTGATGTGTTATATGTTAGTTATGAAGGCCTATTGTATCAAAGTACAAAAACTCATCATACTGTTTAAGCAGTAAATGGAAGCATGCAAGAATTAGGCTGGAAAATAAATCTAGTTCCATTTTCAATTCAATTTTGACCTTTGATATGTCCAATTTATAAGAATCATGGTTCTTAAGCAATTTTCAGTCAATTTCATTAGACAGTTAGACATGATTTTTTTTTTTTTTTTACCTTGTAAATATCTCACCTTCTACACATTTGCTCTTTCCTATCAATATTATAAAACCAGGTAAAACAAGCAAAAGAGCAGAAGCTCTGATGCTGGAAAAGGATGACTCAAGAAAGAGATCAACTTTTGGCTCCTTAAAGGTACAAACAGAACAACTCTCAAGGGCCTATATAGTTTGGAAACTTTTTTCCACTTTTTCAACTCTATTTTTTCACTTTTTCCATTTTCCAATTCTACATTTCCATTCTCAAAAGGTGTAGGTCCCATATGAAGAGTTTTAAAAATATCTAAGAGTAGAAATTATGGGCATGTGCCGTCTACCTACTTTTTCCACTTTATTTTCAATTTGAAAAATACACAGAATAGTTTCCAACTTTGAGTAGATAACTTTGACTTCTTGTGATGACAATGTCATCCACATAGACCACTAGCAAGACAATACCTGTTTTAGACTGCTTATAAAACAGAGAATGGTCAGATTTTCATTTCACCATTCCAAACATCTTTATTTCTTGACTAAATTTCCCAAACCAAGCTTGAGGACTTTGTTTTAAACCATACAAAGATTTGCAAAGTCAACATACCTTCCCATACTCCCCTGAGCAACAAATCCAGGAGTTTGCTCCATGCATATTTCTTCTTGAAGATCTCCATGTAGAAAGGCATTCTTGATGTCGAGTTGATGCAAGGGCCAATCATAGATAATTGCCATAGAAATAAGTAATCAAACATATATTAACTTAGCAACAGGGGAAAAAGTGTCAAAATAATCTACCCCATAAGTCTAAGCATAACCCTTCGCTACAAGGCAAGCCTTTAACCAAGCGATAGATCCATCAGAGTTCACTTTGATGACAAACACCCATTTGCAACCAATTGGTTTCTACCCTGTAGCTAAGTCTACCAAATTCCAAGTACCATTTTGGTCTCAATCATTCATTTCCTCAATCATAGCATTGTACCATCCAAGATGGGACATGGCTTCTTTAATCGTTTTAGGGAGAGAGATAGAGTCAATAAATGCAATAAAAGAACAAGAGGGCGGTGACAGATTATCATAAGAGACAAAGGAAGAGACATGATAAGCACACTAGTGTTTATCTTTGCAAAGAGCAATTGGAAGATCATAATTGGAGAGTTGATCAGACCACGAAGAAATTGGTTTAGGACATGCAACAGGTGGGAGTTCAGGACACGGGCTAGGCTCAGGTGGGGTGGATCCCGTAGGCATAATGGGGGCTGACTTAGGTAGTCTTGGTTTCTGAGAATAAACGTGAAGAACAGGAGGGGTCAGAACAAAGGAAGTAATGATATAAATCAAGATATCATCTTCCTCTCCTGAACGAACATGATTTGAAGATGGTGAGAACTGAGAAGGGTACCTCATGAAAGGTAACATCCATTGATACATGATACTTACCTAGTGTAGGGGAATAACATCTATACCCTTTTTGGACACATGAATAACCCAAAAGAAAAATCCATTTTAGCGATTTGGGATCTAATTTTGTTACATGAGGACGAACATCCCTAACAAAGCAAGTACACCCAAATATTTTTGGATCAATGGGAAACAAGGACTTAGTCAGAAAGAGACTTTGATAAGGGGTCTTACCAAGCGAAACAGAGGATGTCATATGATTGATCAAAAAACAAGTAGTGAATACTGCATCAACCCAAAATTGTTTAGGAACATTCATCTGAAACAATAGGGCTCTCGAAGTTCTAAGCAAATGTCAATTCTTATGCTTAGCCACCCTATTTTGTGACGGTGTATTCATGCAGGTGGTTTGTGAAGTATACCATGTTGGATCATGTATGACGATAAAGGAGCTGACAAATACTCTCTAGCATTATTATTAGTTCTTAATATTTGAACATAAACATTGAACTGAGTTTTAATCTCATCACAAAAAGCACAAAAGTGAGAATAATTCTGAGTGATTTTTCATGAAATATAACCAAGTTATACGAGAATAATAATCCACAATTGTAACAAAATACTTGTATCCAATTCTAGACACAATTGGACACGGAACCCAGCCATTGAAATGAACGAGTTCAAAGGGGGCACTTGCCCCTTTATTGACTCTAGGACTCCATGTGCTTTGAAGACAACAACTGTTTGAAGAGAAGAGGCGACTTCTGGATGGCAACATCGCATATCATAACCGTGGTGATAGGGTCAAGGGTGTTGTTGTTGGCATTTCAGCTGAGTTGGATGGTGGGGCCTACCGTCATGATAATATTTGCTCTTGTCATTCTCTATACTCACAACCTCCTTTCTCTCGTTGTCATTCTCTTTCATGATAATCAAATAATAAAGGTGAAATCCATACTCAAATTAGTGTCCCTATTTGATCTGTCAAAACGGGAGGAAGAAAAAACAAGTTTACCCCTTGGTTTGATGGTTCCAGGGCCGGTCCTGGCCATGCCGGCCCGGCGCGACCGCACAGGGCCCCCAATTTTCGGGGGCCCAATTTTTTTTAAAAAAAATATTATAGATATGATCTATTTTTTTAATACTTGATAATTTTTGAATTCATAGATTGGTCTTAATTGTAATTGAAAATAAAACTTTAAAATGAATTAACATTGAAATTTTGGTGAATAATTTTGTATTTAAATATGAACGAAAAACGGCACGATTAAATTAACTTTTGAATTGTATTATTTCTTTGTTAAAATTTTATGCCTTATATTTGGACAAAAAAAATTTAATTACATTTTTATTTTTGTTATAGAATACAAAAACTTGGAGTTCAAATGAATTTGAACTCAATTACATAGAGATTTTCTAGATCTTCTAAACATCTATTTTGCAATTTAGGTTTTTGGGGATTATGTTCCTTACATTTATAAATAGAAATCTCTGTCATTATAGCGAAATTTAAGTATTAAAAAAAATCTTTTTCCCTATGTTTTTATCTATCTATTATTATCTTTGTCTATTTACTATATTATATTTAGATTGCATCTCGTAATAAAAACAATGAAGGTCCAAATTAAATAATTAAACAGGGCCCCTATATTTAATGGAACGGCCCTGGATGGTTCACAAATGGAAATGGTAACAGAGGACCTATTCAAGTAACCTTTGATTACTCAAAGGGATTTAATTTAGTAAAATTTTATATAGAGCTCCTAATTAAGTAAATGCCCGAGGGACCCCAATTGGTATTAACTCTAAATTTAAGTAACATTTAATTACTCAAGGGATTTAATTTAGTAAAATTTGAAACAAAGGATCTAATTAAGTAAATGCTAATAGTCGAGGGACCCCAACTAGTATTAACTCATAAATTAAGATAGTATAGTAAACCGAAGAGATTATATAAAATATTGATTCATAGAAAAGTTCTTAAGATCATACTATATGTGCATGTGTTTACTTTGTGCTGAGTCATATCAAAGTCATCAAGGAGTTGTTGGTTATCGATTATTTCATACCAAATTTATTGAGATCATACTATATGTGCATGTTTTTGCTTCGTGCTGAGTCATATCAAAGTCAGCAACGGGTTGTTGGTTATTTATTACTTCATACAAAATTTATTGAGATCATACTATCTGTGCATTTGTCTGTTTATGCTGAGTCATATTCGAGGGGATCTCCGTTATGAAGTATATTCAAATGTTGAGGTTGTTTAATACCGTAGTGAGTTGTCAATTAGTTGGTAATTTTTTTATTTTTTATTTTAAACCTAAACGGGTCACAAGATTACATGAATTATTAATACAATTCGGTTTACCATCAGCGATAGGATATAATATTTAGGGTTTGGTTGAGTCGGATTACCATCAGTGATAGGATATAATATTTAGGGTTTGGTTGGGTCGGGTTACTGTCAGCGATAGGATATAATATTTAGGGTTTGATACTGTTTGGTATTTCCACCCCCAATTTTCTTACTTTCAAACCAAGGTTGAAGGGAAGAAGTTCTTGTCCATTTTTTGAAATGGCACAAAAGGGAAGTTTGAACTTCTACCGGATGTTTCGCACGGAGACTTGCTCACATAAATTGGTTTGTATATTGAAATTCAAGTTTTTCTTTTATTTTTAGATTTTGTTTCTATGTGTTCTTTTGTGTTGATTTTATGTAAATAAATCTAGAAATGTTTAATCAAGATTGTAGCATTGTTCTGTGTGTATAGGCTTTTCATAAATCCATCTTTCTAAATCTAGAAAATGATCTAATTATTTATAATTCGCTTTAAAAAAATTGAACGCCATTCCTTTGATCGGAAATTTTTATATCATACGTTGTTTAGGTTGTACTTTTAAGATAAATTAAGGTGTTATAGCTTATAGAGAGATTACATAGCATTGATCTAGTCTAATTTGATTATCGATTAGTGGTTGAAAAATATTTGAACACCATTCCTTTTGATAGGAAATTTTTATATCATACATAGTTTAGATTGTACTTTTTTAAAGAGAAATTAAGATATAGCATATCGAGGGATTATTGATCTACTCTTTGATTATTGATTTGTGCACATTTTTTATTATTTAGATCACACTATTTGTGCACATTTTTCATTCCTATTTTGTAAGATTTTGTAAGATTTGAGTCATTAAGGATTGTCCTTTAAGAAAAGTATTCTTCAATTTCTAAAATTGTTGATACAATTTATAATTTTTTTCATAGAGTATTCTCATTCAATTACTTGTTCAATGTTTATCATTTTGTGGCCACTTTTGATAAGATGGGGATCATATGAATTTTCTTCATGCTGAATCATATTACAGTGGGAAACAAGTGTTCTTTACTATGGTTTGTAATCAGATTTGAGCCATGTCCATCACTTCATAGACCATGATTTGCTTATTGTAGTTCACATTGTGATTTTAAAACAAATTAAAATGCTATAATACATCAGATGAATTAGTGGATGAAACGAAGAAGCTATGATCCATTATATTGTTGGAAATGGCACAAGAGAAGTGTTAACTTTTACAAGATTTTTGCCCTGAGACTTGTTCACAAAAATTGGTTTGTATACACAACTCGGTTTTTATGTTTTTTTACATTTACTTATGTGTTGATTGTATGCAAATGAATTTGAAGATGTTTAATCATGATTGTAGCCTTTTTATGTGTGTTCAAATTAAGGAATTGTTTGTTCATGAGTTTGCTTCCTATTGAATCATATCAGAGTATTGTTATGAAGGGCCAAGGGGTTATCTATTATGACTAGTATCTTCGATTGTTTGAACTAAGGTTGTTTGATACCCTCTATAAATGTTTGGTTAGGAAGAAAAAGTTGGAGTAGAAGATATGATCCAGTATATTGTAGGAAATGTGTAGCATACAAAAGAGAAGGTTAAGTTTAACCTATACACAATGCTGTGTCTTTTGTTAAGCGAACAGCGAATTGTACTGCCCATTTGATAGCTAGGGAGTCGATTTCTTAGCCTGTTTGTAGGGAATGGATTTCATTTCCTCTGACTTTTATTTCTGATTCCTTGTATTTGGATCTTAATTAAGCAATATACAATCTTTTCTCTCCAAAAAAACGTTTAACCTATACACAAATTAAACCAACATTATATTCCAATTTGCATGTTTGTTTGTTTCTATACTACTAAAATTGTGGATGGAGAATGTAGCATTTTTATTGAATTGGTGTTTAATTATATTGTTGCCAAACTAAACCTTAGCTAGTTTTCTAATTAATATTGAAAATAATTTAAGTTTGTTTCATTCATCAAGATTTAACCTGTTTATGTTGTTTCGCTTCATAGGAAATTCCATCATTCATGGAATCAGTGAGAAGAGATTCAAAAATGAAGGTTTTACTGAGGAATCAAGTAATGAAAGTTTGGATGATCGAGATATCAAAAATTGGAGGTGCTATGTTTTTTGAGAATGGATGGGAAAAAGTGGTGAAAGATAACTGTGTTACCGATGGAGACCAACTGTTGTTTATCTATAAAGAAGATTGTGATGTGTTTGACTTCATTGTAATTGATTCATTCGGCTGTGAAAAGATAGGGGTGGAAGGTGAACATGCTCAAGTCGTAGAGTGTATTAGGAAGGGCAGTGGTGGTGAGAGTCGAGATGTATTTGTTTTGAAGGCAGATATCTATAGTCGTGTCAAGAAAAATATTAAGAAAGAAGTGGATATGGATATGGATATAGATATCGGTATTAGTGTCAAGAAAAATGTTAAGAAAGAAAAGGATGCGGTTATGGATGCAAATGCAAGAGAGGAGGAGAATGACGATGGTCATCATAGGGCAATAGTTTCCCAGGATATGGATGCAACAGAAGAGGATGATGATGATGATGATGATGATGGTCATACACTTCCCCAGGAAAAAAAAATCGGGTCAAGTAAGTTTCAATTGTTGTGAGTTAATTTTTAAAAAATTTCATTTTCTGTCTTATATGTGATGTGATGTGATGTGATGTGACACACTTTTATATGAGTGAGTTATTATTATTATTATTTTTTTTTAATTAGGTGGATCCAAAAGAGGTATTCCTGAGCATTATGGAGCTGATCTTTTTCTATCAGGACGTTATATTCAACCTGATAATGCTTATTTCGTGACGAGAATTAGAACAAAAAGGCGTGGTGATCTGGTAATTATTCTAGATATCGATCTATTATATATATATTGTTGAGATTATGTGCGTCTAGCTAGCTTGTTTCTTGATCAATTACGCGATTTTGAATGGGATGTGCAGTATGTGCCAAAGGAAGTGGTGAGAGATTACAATCTTAAATTACCTCCAACTGTGACTCTGCGTGACATTAAAGGCAGAGAATGGACATCAATTGTAAAGGTTTGGGCGGATGGGCGAACATGGCTGTCTGGAGGATGGCGACCCCTATGCAGAAGGAACCTGATTGGGGAAGAAGACCAGTGCATTTGTGAGTTCCTGCCTCCTCAATTGGGGAATCAAGATAATATGGTGTTGCAGATCACGGTTGTTAAAGAGGATGCCACCCTAGTAAGGAATGATGAAGATATGTAGATAGATAGGGCAGCTAGTTTGGTTATAACCGATTGACTTTCAATTTGGCCTGGACTGGGGGGCTTAGACTTAGATGCATGCTTGCTTGCTTGCTGTTGTTACATACATAACTTGACATGTTTTGTTTTGGTGATATGGACAGCATATCTCATTTTGTTTGAAAGGTAAAACTAAGGTGTATTAATTATAGAAATCAACTGTTGAATACATAAAGGATAGACTGAAAACCAACTACGAGAACCAGACTGAGAAGAAGCTTCTCTTACTAACACATGTGCAAGCTTATTTGTTGATCTATGGATAAAACGAAACGACACATAATCACTGTCGTTTAAGCCTGAGACAAACAACCAGCATAAGAATTATCAGAAGCAGAAGATCTCAAGGATGAGCACACTAACTGGCAATCCGAAAGAATCACCAACTTTTTCCAACCACACTCCATTGTCCAAGATAACGCCTCCTTTATGGCCATAGCCTCAGCAAGATGTGAATCTTGAAGGCAACGGACCACTTGATTCATGGCAGCAACAAACGTCCCCTGTCCATCGTGAACCACGGCTGCCACCGCACCTTCATTTCTGTCAGAGAAAATTGCAGCATCTACATTTATATAATAGCAATCTTGGGGAATAATTCCATAGTTTAATAATGGCTGCTCATCCACACTCATGCCTGGAGAACTTGTACTATTATTCTGCCAACTCTCCAGAAGCTGCCCAACTAGAAAAGGATGATTCAAGAAATTAGTAGATCAACAATTGGCTTTTTAATGATAGTTACTCTCTACATTTGCCATTGTGAGTTAACATAAACGAATCACAAGATTACACATGAATTTGATAATATGAATCATATTACAATCAACAACCGGTTTATATTAAGTAGTGTTGAGTATTGTTTTGTAGTTCCATCCACAAAATTTTCTTACTCACAAATAAAGGTTGAAGCAAAGAAGTTCTTATCCATTGACCATTGTTGGAAATCATACAAAAGAGAAGTATAACTTCTACAGGATATTTTGCACGAGACCTGCTCACTTTGGTTTGTATACAAAAATCATAGTTTGTATTCTTTTCTTTTTTAAACTTTGTTCTTTTTTTTTTTTCGGACTTTTTAGTTGATTTTATGTAAATAAATCTAGATATGTTTAGTCAAGATTGTAGCATTACTATGTGTGTATAGTTGTTTCATGATTCATCTTTCTAAATCTCGACAAATGATTGAAATACTTGCAATTAATTTTTTAAAAAAAGGAACACCATTCATTTGAAGGGGAAATTTTATATCATACTTAACTAGTTTAGATTGTCCTTTTAAAATAAATAAAGATATTAATATATAGATAGATTACTTAACATCGATCGGCTCTTTCAAGTGTTATCCATTACAAAAAAATATTCTTAATTATTTTTAAGATTGTTAATACAATTTTTAATTTTTTTTCGTATTCTCACTAAAAAAAAGTGTATATATGCATACACACTCATTTAGCTTTTCGTAAAGTATTCTCACTATTTTTTTTAAAGTGTATATATGCTAAAAGTGGCTTCGTAAATTATAATTTTCGTAAAGTATTCTCACTTTAAAATAAAAAAATAGTGTATATATGCATACACTCATTTTGCTAAAAGTGGCTTCGTAAATTAGAAGTCCGAAATGAAAACAAATGTTTGCCCCCATGCAGGATCGAACTACAGACCTTCAGTTTACAAGACTGACGCTCTACCACTGAGCTATAGGGGCTGAGTTGTTCATCGTCCTTCTTAATTGCATCTTCTAGTAGGTCTAATGTGTCGATTGAAAGTTTAGGTGTCATCTTAGATAGTAGATATTTCTCAAATATATACTAAAAAAATTATGACAAATTGACCAAAATGAACAATTTTTTTTTTTTTTTTTTTTTTTTTTTTTATAACAGTGGATAAAATTGAGAAGGTTTAAAATTAGACAACCCTAATAAAAAACAAACATGTTTTGAAAATGTATTTGAGTCTTTGACCGGATACTAAATGCATTTTTCAAATGAATCTTTTACTTTTGTTGAATTTTTTAATTGAAAAAATAATATACACATTTGATAAATGCATTTAATTTATTTTCACCACCTTCTGTGAAAATCATCAAATGCATTTCCCAAATGTATTTGATGTATCTATAGAAATACGTCAAATGCATTTTCTAAAGGTATTTTGTGATTTTTATGAAACAAAATTAAAAACTCAATTATATTTGGTAAGTATGTTTGATGTATGGATTTCTAAATGTGTGATGATTTAAAAAAAAAAAAAAAAAAAACAAAACAAAACAAAAAAAAAAAAAACAAAAACAAAAACTCAAATGCATATTTCAAATGCGTTTGAATTTATTTTTTTTTTAAAAAAAAGAATTAAAATACTCAAACACGATATGCGTTTGAGATAAATTTTCCAAACCTTAAAAAAGTACATCTCCAAGAAAGAAATCAGTAAATAATTTATATTTATTAATATTTAAAAAATAAATACGCATATATATATATATATATATATATATATATATATATATATAATTAAGTTCCAGTACGGATGAATGTTTCCCATGCAGTTGTGTGGTTTTAAGACGCGTGAGTTTTGTACTTAAGTGACTTAAGGTGTGTGAATTGTGAATTTTATACTTAATGTGAGTTGTTGAAACTTAAGGTACGTGAGTTTTGTGCTTAAGGTGTGTGTGTTTGAGCCATACTAATTAAATTGAATAGAAATTTACAGAGGATGAAAAACTGTTTATAAACTTGGAATTGATCTAACTTTAATAACATGAATAAGAAACTGAGTACTTAAAGGTGTCCCAAAAGGAATAACTAAGTTGGTGGAAGATGAGTCTCATACTTAAAGGTCCAAGTTTGATTCTTATCAACACTTTTGGTCGAGCCTCCATGGATTCTTTCTAGAGCGATTTTTCTTTCATGTATGATTAGGGGTATTACACGAGTGGATTTTATCCCTGCACACCTTTAAATAGTGAATGCAAATTTCATCCCCTCATTGGAAATAAAATAAATAAATAAGGTAAGAATGCCACCAAATGCAAAATGGTTAGATGTGCATTGTGCAACGTTGAATAGATGCAACATTCACCTAACAAATTGTACGAGAAAGTACTCCACACAATACATCTGCTATCTGCAATATTCCAATATAACATCATACACAAAGCCTTGATCAATAATAATCATTTTTTAAATTTGCATATCAGTTAAATTTGCATGTAATACCTCCTGGCCTGGTGCACAAAATTGATCAAGTACAGATAGATAGATGGGGATACAAGGACACCAAGTTATAATGCTACTTTTATTCTAGCAAACATACAACCGGGGTTCGAACCTGTAAGTTGTAAGGATGTCTTCAAAGCTCATACAGCGTTGCTATATATATTATATTGTAGATTATAGTAAACCTCTTCCGCCAAAGAGTTGATCGATAAATACAAACATGAGCTTGGCATTCCGTAGTCTAGTCCCTGCAAGAACAACGAGAAATTTAGACACTTATTCATCTTATGACAGGACTATCCATAGATACAAGCAACCAGTTCAGTTGTATAACTAAAGTTGTAGAATGAGTTAAATGAGTTGCCATCACTTGTGATAATAGAAAGGTGGAAGATGCTAACAAAAATGGTTCACGTTTAGACTGCCCTCTGCGTTTAGGGTATTGCCTATAACTACTGTCAAATTCCACAACAAAACAATATAAAGAAGTAGTCATCATATGTTTCATATTGTTTCAAGGATAAGATATTTTACCAGTATTTGATCAATCCATCCCAGCCACATGTAGCAACTTTACTTTGCTCCAATGGATGCCACTCACAACCAATGCATACCCCATCATGACACTTGAGGGTTCTAAAGACTTTGCAACTCTTCCAATCCCAAAACCAGCATCTACCTTCACCATCTCCGGAGAGGACAAACCGCCCATCAGGTGAGAAATTAACCTGACATGCATACCCAGCTACAACATGCCCAGCAAATCTCTTCTTCTTGTTCAGCTGGAACCTCTCTCTAGCGCTGTAGATAAGAATTTGATTGTCCAAACTCTGGGCCGCAAGCCAATTCCCATTTGGATGTGGTGAAATGGATGGCATAGAGTGCATATGGGGTTCACTAATATACTTAATAACAACAGGAATGCCATATTCCCAAACACGGAGAGATTTATCATCACTAGAAGTTACAAACCTCCTATTATCATCCACAAATGTGATTGTATTAACTGCTCCGAGGTGCTGATCATACTCCTGAGTAATCTGCCCAGTGTTAATATCCCACTGTACTATCTTCTTATCGCTCATACCCGCCAGAAGTACATTCTGTTTATCCTCATCGGGATTAAGCCTCACCACATAAGGTATCTTCCCGGTGGAAAATGTAGATATCACCTTGCCAGTCTCTGTATCCCAATACTTAATATTTTTGTCATAGCTTGCAGTTAAAAATTTAGTTCCGTCATTGCAAAACCAAATATCTCTCACTGCCTTTGAGTGCCCCATGTAAGTCCTCATACACTTGCCTGAATTGAAAACATCCCATATCTTTACTTTTGTATCCATCCCAGCAGAGAGAATCAAATGGCCATGCTTGGGGAAGAACCTAATAGCAGAAACTCCTTTTGTGTGGCCACTCCAAGTATGCACCAATCTCTTTGGAATATAACAATGATCATTCTGTGGCTTTGCATCCTTAGGAGGTGCAATCCATGACCTTCCCTGATAATCCCTCTCTTCCTTACCATGAAATGTACTCTTCTCAACCAAAGACTCTCCCTTTTCTCTTTCACCTTTCTCCTCACCCTTCTTCTTCGCATACTCTTCAGCATACTTCTTTTGCTCCTCAGTTAGATCAGTTTGCAAACCCTCCTTCTTCCCAGACCAAGGGCTCTTTCTATTCTTCCTCAACCACACCTCAGTGGCCGGATTATCCACTTCTGCTGCATCAACATCCTCCTCACCATCTCCTTGCTCATTCTCCATCATCTCCTTCTTTTTCTCAAGCTTCCTCTTCTTCTGCTCATGCTGTGGTATATTATACACTGAAATTGCATCATTCTTCTTCAAAGCATCCATATCCCCAACAAAGTTATTTGCCGAGGGGTCAAATGCATAACCATATTTTTGAAACGTATTATACTGCTCATCGAAAACAAATGGCTCAATAGCAGCATTTTCCACAAACCCCAACTTGTGATTGCGGAGGCCCTGTGCAAGGCCATCCTTTGCATAAGGGTGTGCAGGGCCATAAATTGGTGCCCAGAGCTGGTCATAAGTGGGATTAAATGAGACTGTGTGTTGAGTTGGGTCGAGGGGTTTTGAAAGAGCTCGAGCCGCACTGCCAGCAACCGTGAGGGCCAACATGGTGTCGTTAACTTTTGGGGCAGCAGATTTGGATGGGAGTGACATCCGGACTGGAGATGAATCTGGAGAGGAGTGATTTGAATGCTCAAGCGGTTGGGAATTAGGGTTTTGGTTGGAGGATTGTGGTTGTTCTTCAGATTGCCCTTCATCGTCCATTTCATCATCAGCATACGAGTGTAAGAGATCCATGATATAGAGATAGTCTGAATGACAAAACCTCAGACTATCATATATCTGCACAACGAAATATATCATAATGAATTTCAGAGTGCATATTCAAAGGGAAGTAAAAAGGTTAATAATGGTTACAAGCAAGCATGTAACAACCTATTACACAAAGTCTACTGGATGTTATATTACAAATGCTTACAAACATCGGCAGTAAAAATGTAAAGTAAAAAAATCAAATAGAACACAAAATGAAGTCTACGCTATTGTTATCCAAAGTACTGAAATGCATATTTAATACAAGTGAAAATCAGGAAATGATTATGAGGCATAACTGAATCAGTGAGCAAGGATTATTAACACAAAAAAATACACAAAAGTTTCTGTTTCCAAGGACATTGCAGATGTTCCAGAAAGGTCTTCCCCCCGGCCCTCACCTCAATTCCCCCAAGGAACTAAGGGTGTGTTTGGTTGGTGGGTTTTGTCCATAGGAATGGGTATGAAAGTGATTGTTGTTGTTTGGTTGATAGGTTTTTAGAACACTACTATGGGTTTCGAATACCCCATCAATTGAAAAACTCATACCCAAATAAAAGAAGGGTTTCATTCCCTTATTCATTCTCAAGCACTACTATTAGTAACCATTTCCATTCCACCCTATTACCAAACATGTTAAATACTTCCACCAAAACCCATTACCATTACCAAATATTTGATACCCATTCCGATTCCGATTCCTATGTATGAACCAAACACACCCTAAGTAAATGAAAAGAATATCCAAAGGGAATGCTATTGAGTATTGACTGCTGCAGTCCTTCAATATCCATTTGCACATAAAGCCAACTCATGTAACGTTTCTAGTCAAGGATAAATGAAGGGAGAAAAGCTGTTACAAACTGATGAGAATCAGATTATGCTAATCTGTGCCTATCTCTAGTCTAGACAGCGGAGGAATGAACAAAGCCAAATTAAAATAAAAATTAAAACCTCTTAGCCCTATGCTGTTGTACAAACAAGTGGAAAGGGCACACTGGATTGAAGAATCATATAGAAAAATCAAAGGGGAATACTATCCAGTTATACTAGATGAATGCCAAAATATGTTAAATTTGAGCAAGATATAGGGATTAGGGACTGTCCAAGCAGCAATCTTTTTTAGAGGTCAGCTGGAACCAGGAGAGTAAAGGAGCTACTCCTATGGGTTACAGTATCCTATATATCTATCCCAGTCCCCAGATCTGGAATCAGGTAAAATCACCTTTGCAACCCAGGCTGGGCTCTCCCAGTCTTGTTAATTTCTAACCAAATTGTTAATTAATCAAATTAAATGAATTGTTAAACTCAAATCATTAAAATCTAACCAAAATTTGTAAACTGAAATTTGTTGGTCCATTAACATTGCAGCAAATCATAATCTAACCAAATTTTATATCTTTACTTTAACTGAACCGAAATTTGTCAGTTCAATAGCATTGCAGCATCCTGGGTTACCTGACTATACTTTAGCAAGACCAGACACTCAAGACACTAGAAAACCCCCAAGTAAAAGGGGGACTGGGGAGAGGAATGTAACAGTATCTATTTTGGCAAGAGTAGACACCATTGCAGTAACATTCTCCCTTTTTCACCTTTATTTAAAATATTTTTTTAAAAAATACTAAAGAAATTTAATCACAAAATTTGAACAAGTAGAAATCAATCAAAGAATTCATACAATTCAGTCCAAGAAGTTGCAATGTATATCGTGTGAAGCTAACAAAATAAAAGAAAGAACAGCACAAGACTAGAACTTAGGTTCATAAAGTTCACATAATTAAATCTGAAAGCATGAACTTCATAAACAGAATTCTCTGACCTTTTTCTACGAGACTACGACCACAAACCAGTGTAATCGAGAAGATAGAAAGTGAAGACTACTAGCACCGAACTCAAAGATGGATTCTACTGATCCGTATCCGGCGGCGCGGCGGCGATCTCCGTTTGCCGGAAGGTGGCGATGCCGATACTGTTGACTTGTAGTAATTCGGCTCGACTGGTCCGACTATCGGTTTATATGGAACTTATGGACTGTGGGCATTGCATCATTGGGCTATGAGTTCATAGTATATATACTTAAATCTGCGGGCCTATGGCCTACTATTTAAATTAAAATAAATTTCTTGAATAATTTTATTTAATTGATGTTTCCGTTGGAACTAATAACAAATCAAAAAATTTTGAAATTCTAAAATCTTTTATAAATATATATATATATATATATATATATATATATATATATATATAATAATATAAATAGACATTACTAGAGGATTATATTATAATAATGCATTTTCATTATTTATAGACTATAGTTATAATGTCAATCCTTATACCATGAATCAAGGTTCACACTGTACTGTGGACTTTGGTTTATGTATATGTGTTGTATTATGATTGTTTGTGTTTTGCGTTTTGAAAATTTGTACTTTAAGAGTAAGAATTTTGTACATGAAACAAATTAGTAATTGTGTCTTATGTTATGAATTTGTGTCTTTGTGTAGTGAAATTTTGTGCATATAGACATAAATTATGTACTTATAAATTAGATTTGAAAAATAAATAAATATATAACATGTCACATGTGTATGTGTCATGTTATGATTTTTTGTATATTGTGTTATGTAATTATATACCTTAGGCGTCCAGGGTCCATAATGTTATGTGTCTTGTGTTATGAATTTTTGTATTTTGTGTTATGAAATTATGTACCTTACAAGTTTAAATTTTGTATCACATCAATTTCAATTCAAGATCCATAATGCTATGTGGACCTGATCTATGATATAAATTGCCTTATAATGTAATGTGTATTGTTGTACATTATGTATATATTAAATTGAATGGTGAATAATAAAAGATAAATGATTATCTATGTACTTCTCGTCTTCTATTTACTTTACCCTATATTATTGTGTTTATTAGTATTTTTATATGAGGACAATACAACGATTCATGTAAGGGTCCATAATGATATGTATAGTCTCTTATTCTTCCAAAGGCTGAACCCCAACCCTAAGGGCCCTTCACACCCCGACCCGACAGAGTATTTGGAAGGATGTAAATCATGGTAACTCAATTAAACATGAACCACAAAGGCTAGACCGATTTTACTGCGTACAAGGAACCTCCTCACTTTGAGAGGTTGCTCCCACACTGTCGCTGGTGAGACTCAATCTATGTATAGTCTCTTATGTTCGTAGAAATAACAAACACTAAGGGGGTGTTTGGTTGGATGGAAAACATTTTCCATGGAAAATGTTTTCCTAAAAGTGAAGGAAAATGATGTTTTATGTTGTTTGGTTGGATGGAAAACATTTTCCATTGGAAAAAGTTTTCCTTGAGTATGAGGAAAACAAATTCCTAGCTTTTGTTAGGTATTTTGTTTTCCATGGAAAACTAATATGCCAATTTTACCCTCACATTTCTTTATTAATTACTCTTATTATTATTATATTATTAGTGTTGTGTAGGGTTATATTTGTCATTATATACATTATTCCTTACCATTCCAAACTCAACCAAACAATAGAATTCATATTTCCAGTAATTTCTTTTCCAAACAATGGAATCTATTTTCTTGGAATTTATTTTCCATGGAATTTCAATTCCATTTCCCTTCAAATATTTTCCAGCGAACCAAACGAGCCCTAAAAGAGGAATTGTATAGTTAGAAACGAAAAGTGTAATTTTTACTAAATTTAATAAGCTCATCTTATTATAATAATAAATTAATAATAAGGAAGTATATAGTTCAGCTCATCTTATTATAATAATAAATTAATAATAAGGAAGTATATAGTTCAGCACCACAACTAAATTAGTCAAAGTAATTTAAGATAAGTTTACAAGCTTTATTAGGAATGGTGACAAGCTTTATTAGGAATGGTGTAGGATTGGAATAAATTGAGGGACATCGTTCAAACTTATGATCAGAATTATGTATGCATAATCAAAATCAAAGTTCAAAACAGCTTTGATCCTGATAATAAATTGTATTTTTTTTTACAGTAATAATAAAATGTTACTCTTTTGCAATTAAAGCAAGAAATAACAATAACAATAATAAAAATAAGAGTAAATACCAATTTTGGTCCCACGAGTATTAACAAAATGACAATTTTGGTCCACATGTTTAATTCCTACCAATTTTCATCCACGACTATTGTTTTAGTACCAATTTTCATCCACAACTATTGTTTTAGTGCCAAAATTCATCACGTCGGCCACTCCTTCGTTTAAGACATGCCGGAATATGAAATTATTAAGGGTAGTTTTGTAATTTTCAAATTAGGATCCATATTTGAGCATGAATAAAGAAATTTAAGCCTTAAGATCTATCCCAATTTGCAATTTTCCTCCTCAAATTAAGGTAGGATGGGGAGGAGAACAACGAATTGGGATCAATCTTAGGGCTTAAATTCATTTATTTATGCTCAAATTGGAATATTAAGTTGAAAATAACGAAAATACCCTTAAAATTTTTAGATTTCGGGATATCTTAAATTGATGGGTGACCGACGTGATGAATTTTGGTACTAAAACAATAGTCATGGATTAAAATTGGTACTAAAACAATAGTCGTGGATGAAAATTGGTAGGAATTAAACATGTGGACTAAAACCGTCATTTTGCTAATACTCGTGGAACCAAAATTGGTATTTGCTCTAAAAATAATTAAGGGGAAAAAACAAAAAACAAAAAGCAGAAGAGATTTGACAAGAAAGAAAGAAAAAACTAAAGTGGTGCCTTTAATTTGATGATAATTGTGACGTCGGTACATTGCTCGATGAATTGATCCGTAATGTCATTCGCAATCACATCACTTCAGAATCTAAGCCTGTGGAAGAAACCCAACGAAAGGGACGACTGGCGATTCTTCTTTTTACATGATAGTCACTAAAAATATTCAAAATACAAAAATACTGTAGCCTTTCATGGTGGAATTGAAGCAGATCAGATTTCTTAACATTCATATCATATGATTTCAAATCCAACTACTGTAACAAGCATCACTGTGCTAATCGAGATGTGAAGATGCAGTATTCCAACATTCAAGTTGAACGAACTGAACACACGATAGAAAAAAGAGAAGGCAATTCAACAATAGGCATGATTTGAGTTATTATACTTGAATACTCACTCTAATCAGAATTCAGAAGCCTCCAAAACCCTGCCAATCTCAAAGGAGACGAAAGCATCAACGCACGCATACTGAATCTGCTCTTCAGTGAGCCAGCTTTGATCCCACCTGCTCAACCTCACCCTTCTCGGCTTACTCATCTCCGCTCCAAGGTAAATCATAGCCAGATCCTTCAAACCGACGTTTCTCAGAGACCTATCGTTGGAGTCATTCGCGGCTAGGTAACACAAATCCACGGCGTTATTCACCTCCAGATCGTAGTCTTCCACGAGCTTCTGAATGTCGTTGTGGATTCCGACGCCGACGAAGGTGTAGTCGGGGTGGGAAAGGAAATCGGCGAGCTCGAACGGAATGTGGCAGCAGTAGAGGAGTTGGAAGATGAGGCAGCGGCGACCGACGCAGAGTTGGAGAGTCGCTACCGGATTGTTCTGGTAGCGGGCGGTATTCGGGCGCCACTCGACGTCGAGGCCGACGATGAGACGGTCCAGACGGTGGCGATGGATGTACTCGATTTTGGCGATCCAGTCGACGACCTTGTGGGGCTCATGCGTCACTAGGGTTTGGATACGGTCGTCATAGAAATAAACGTCGAAGCGATCGTAAGACTCTGATCCAAGGTCCACGATGTTGATAGCCATGGCTGTGCAGTTTCTTGGAAAGAGGGGATATGTAACCGTAATACACTTTGTCACGATGATATAGGCATCCCATAACCCGGCATTTCAAATCCACTTTTTCTCGGAAACCAAAACCATTTTTTCAAATATATATACTCCCTATTATATACGAATCAAATGCGAAAGCTTTCCAAGTAAAAAATATGGTGGATCTCAATTATTGATTAAATTCAAATTAATTGTTCAGAATGAGTGAAATTTGAAGAAAACAAATATGGAGTTGTTTGTTAATTTAGGTAAGTTAATGTATTTTTTTCTTTGATTGCATAATTTCTTTTTTTCAAGTACATATTTTTTTACGCCACCATTTTCCATTAGATTAAAAAAAACTCACCTTTGATTTTTTGTTCTGCAAAAACCACCAAACAACCACAAATGTGATTGTCCTTAGTTTTACAAGTTATGTACAACAAAAACAAGCATGCTAAAAGATAATAAATACATATTTTGGAAATTGAATTTTGGTGGGAAGTAGCTTAGAATATTACTTGTGATGAAACATCACATTTACATTGAAGTGAACAAGAAACAATAGCTGATTAGTCATTATTTCAGTTTTTATCATTTTAAAATTATATTATTTCATGCAGAATTGAACTAATATATGGACAATCTACGCTGATTTACCTCCTTGTAGTTCTTTGTTGGTTAGGGTTATAAGATGGTCGGAATTTATCCAGTGTAGACCATCAAGTAGTGACTGTGGGTTTCCCTCGTCATCCCAGAGATCCGACAGCCAAAACAAGTCTTTCCAAATCTAGGTCCGACATCATGACATGGGTCACAAGACGGAGTTACTCAGTGCACCCTCTTAAATAGTAACTGCGATATTCCGTTGTCACTCCAAAAGGTCCGGCAGCCATAACAAGTCTTTCAAAATCTAGACCCGACATCATGACATAAACTCTTGAAGTAGACAAGTTAGGGCAAGGCCCGACATCATGACATCAGGCCAATAAATTAAACAACACTTTATGCTGGTAAATACTTGAAAATTGAATAATTATTCTTCTGTCAAAAAGACTGACACAAAATATTAATGCAGGGGTATAAATTGCTTGGTATGCTATTGAAACTCTTAAAAAAGGGTTTGTATAAGTTTTTTTGTGTGCATGTGTGTGTCCATACTAAGTTTTGCCTCTCTCAATCCTCCCTTTCTCCAAAACAATTGAGAAACACAAATAAATAGTTATCCAAAAATCATTGCATAT